CTCCATCTCCTACTTCCTTATATTGTCTTCCTGATCCTCCATGGCCACTAACACCAGCTGGATGTGATGCCCCCCTCAATAGTACTTGTCAGTATGGACTATTTAATGGTAAATTTTTATTATTTCATTTATTTTGTAAATAATCTTCACTAGCTACAAGGTGCTGTAATGAAAGTGGGAACTGGGATCCTGTTATCTGTCTTGCCAATAAAAATTTAGAGGCTATTGTATTGCTGGTAAAGTATTGTACACATAATATTATTTATACCTGTGTATTTTAACATAGGCATCATCATCTCCTTATGATGCACTTGACTCCCTTTCAAACAGTATTAATACTATTTCTGCTGTTCAAACGGTTGTACTGTTAGATATTATAGTTTCCAGTAATGCCAGGAATGCTACTACTACTGAGGAATTTGGACGAGTAAGTGACTTTATTCATTTACTCTATTGTCTTTTCCTCTATAGTTACTTTTGAAAACTTTTGATGAATTTTTAAATGGAACAAACCCATCTCTTTATGATGAAGAAGTTAGTATCAAAATATTCTAAAAATGCTGTAACTCATAAAATGTCTCGAAAACAGATTTGTTGAAAATTTTAATAACGATTTTGCTATTTGCCAAGTTTATTATGCAGTCTCTATCCAAAGTAACCAACATTATAAAATAAACACCTTTTACTGATCATTAGCAATAAGTGCTGACACTTCATTTCTTCATTGTCATATTTTACATGTACATACTACTATCCTTTACGGTAGTAAATAGCTACATGGAATGTTAATGATAATGATTTGTATGAATGCATCTCAGGTATTCCCCAAAGTTAATGAGACAGGTTTTTGTTTATTAATAATTTAAATTAAATAAAGGTATATATTTTTTTATAGCATGCATTTAATTTCAGTATAAGAGCGCAAACGTATAAAGGGAACGTAAAAGTTGATGTTTGATAATATTTATTTTACACGTCATTAGGTGAGACGCTCAATTGGTAGTCAAATATTGTCAACATTAGATTCATTTGCTCTCAGTTTGACACAAAACTTCAGCATATCATTTGAGGCTATT